CACTTTCTCAGTCTCTCAGTGTGTGTGAGAGAGAAAGAGAGACAGAGAGAGAAACAGACAGAGATGGAGAGATAATAATAATATAATAATAATATAATATCCCTCTCTCTCTCTTCCTCTTTCTCTCTGAGAGACACAGAGAGAGAGACAGAGACTGAGAGAGAGATATTAATCATAATATCCCTTCTCTCTCTCTCTCTCTCTCTCTCCTCTGTTTGAGCAGCAAATATACCAGTAAATGGGAAAAAGGAGCCTGAGAGCATCTCACGATCGTTGGTCCTCATCGTTTGCACTGTTTCTTTTTCTCTCTCTCTCTCTCCCTCTTTTCTGAGAAAGAGCCTGGGGAGACTGAGAGAGAGGGAGGGAGACAGGGACTGAGAGACTGAGAGAGAGGGAGACAGGGACTGAGAGAGAGGGAGGGAGACAGGGACTGAGAGACTGAGAGAGAGGGAGGGAGACAGGGACTGAGAGAGACAGATATACAGAGAGGGAGAAATAAAGACAGAGAGAGAGACTGAGAAAGAGACTGACAGAGATAAAGAGAGAGACACAGAGAGGGGAGAGAGAGACTGAGAAAGAGACTGAGAGAGAGAGAGAGAGAGAGAGAGAGATTGAGAAAGAGACTGAGAAAGAGACTGACAGATAGAGAGACACAGAGAGAGGGAGAGAGAGACTGAGAAAGAGACTGACAGAGAGAGAGAGAGAGAGACTGTGTGTGTGGGAGAGGACAGAGTCCTACCTCTGCTGAGGTGGGGTTAGGCAGTGCCTCCCCTCTCCTGCTCTCCCTCAGGCTGAATAACTCCCACAGTTGTTGTGCTGCCTGACACTGACATTGGTAGAGCTGGTTTGAGCTCCTGCTGTGGTCATGGTTTGAGCTCAAATCCATCAACGTACAAAAAAAAACCTTCTCTCTCTCTCTCTCTCCCTCTATAGCATCTCTCTCAGTGCTGTTGCTGTTACTGCTCATCTCTCTTCATCTCTCTCCCTAAAGGGTGCACAGAACATATCAGCGAGGAGACATCTCTGGGCAATACATGTACATATATATATATATATATATATATATAGGGGGAGGGAGAGAAAAAAAGAGCAATCCAGATCTGTTAGGGTTCATGTGTACAAAGGAGTTTTTCTGGCAGTTACAATGGGTTATAACAAGAGGGCAGTAATGTACAGCTATTATCAGCCTGGAGTCCTGGAATAAATGCACAGCCACAATAGTGCATCACTTCAATCCCAAGCACCAACAAAAAAATCCATATATAATTATATATTTATCATTCAGTAAAGTGCAACAGGGAGAATCCAAGAGTGAGTCACTGCAGTGGGAATCCTGCAGTGTATATTTATATCTATCTATATATTTATATATAACAAAATACATGCAACAGGGAGAATGCAAAGGGATGTTCTCTGCACACAAGATAAGCCCGGAATAAACTAGGAGGCAAGACACACTTTAAACACTGGGTTTGTGCAAGTCCCGACATGAAAAGCGCTATATCAAATGCAAGGATTATTATTATTATTATTATTAAGGAGTCAGCGAAGCGAGTGAGTGCACCGTATTGGAAGCCAATATGTTTCACGGGCGATCTCTCTCTCTCTCTCTCTCTATTTGTTGATGCAATATAAAAGTTTTGTTTGTATATATATATATACAAAGAGCATATATAACAGCAATAATGTTCCTTGCATTTGCGTCTTCGAAACGTCTCCGAGGGCTTGGCAGGATTTATTGTCGTCAAGTCTGGTCACTGGGTATTTGTACGCAGTGACGAGGCTGTGTATCCCACACAGGGATATCCCGCTCACCAGTGAAAGTGACTGACTGACTCAGTTTATCTGGGAGACTGTTGGTCAGGATCAACCAGCCACTGCTCACAGATAAAGAAAACAGTGAAGCGGAAAGATATACATGATTTGCTGAATGTTTTGAAAGTGGGTGCCAATCAGATTCCGGGGCGCTATATAAACTCCAACAAAGTCGCATTCTCCTCTTCCCACCCCCTCCTCCCCCCCCCCCCCCCACCCACGCCCAACACTGTTATTGGAGTGTCAACCAGTCTATGAGGGCATTTATAATGGAACGATTGCGTATTCCGTACGTTTCACCCACAAAATGCACAGTCACACCACTTTCCAGTGTATCCTGTGAAGCGCTTTGAGACGTCTCAACGATGTGATAAGGCGCTGTACCAAAGGCAAGGATTATTATTATTATAATGGGTAAATCCAATTAGTGGCCAACTTCGGCAAAAATACTGGGGTTAACACTGGATGGAATTGCAACCCATCAGCGAGCCAAAGGAGCAGCCATTTTCTCACCCTCTCCCCACTTGACATATCAGACAATCTTTTATAATATATTTGACTGAGAGTTTGGTTCTAGTTTGGCTCAGCATTTGCACTGACATCTCAAGGCATTTTGATCTTTGCAATATTTGCAATCTTCGGAGCACAAACCGATGCAAAATCCCACTAACCTGTCATCTTACTC